GGGATTTTCGCCTTCCTCTGCAGCGTGGGGCACGGGTCACTTGCTGAAGGATTCTCTGCACCTTGAAGTCTTTAAACCATAAGTTGAGGACTTCAACAGCTCAGACATAGGTCAGGGGTTTGTTACAAGAGTGGGTGGGTGAGATTCTGTGGCCTGCACTGTGCAGGAGGTCAGACTAGAAGATCATAATGGTCCCTTCTGACCTTAAAGTCTATGAGTCTATGTCCCTCTCTAGTGACGCCCAGCCTAGCTAGAGATTGATGAGTCTGCTACAGCCTTAGCTAAGAGCCAAGTGGCTTTTAGCTCGTGAAGTAGAGGCACATACACTGAGCTTCACAGATCCCATGTTCAATCCTGCTGACGACTGTGGTCTGTTGGCGTTACATGTTGGCCGTGAGACCCAGCCCAGCAATGATAAACCCAGGCTTACAATGCAGGGGGGTTACTAGAGCACAGACTGAGGGACACCAGATACACAAGCCCAGCTCCCACCGACCTGGGCTTAGCGTACAGTATAAACACCCCTAGCTTGTGTTAGTAGGTCCCAGACCCTCCCTGGGAGCCCAGCCAGTAGAGGGCATCATCGCTCATCAAGACGCCCAGTCCGTATGTTACAGAGGTCATTTTCTTATCAGTCTATATGTCACTGATTGAACCACTGGTGCTCACAACATGATGAGAAAGGAGCCCCAAAGTAACGTCTAGATATGAACGCCCACCCTGAGTGTTTGGGAAACGCTCATACCCTGATGAGGTCCACGCCATGTCCCTGACCCTTCTCTCTAGAAAGAACCAAACCTACCCCCCTCCAATCTCGAACACCCCCACACACTGGGGACGTTTGGCTCTGGCTCCAAACTCTGCACCTTGGACTCGTGTCTATTACAACCGTGATACCCCTCCAGAGAGGACGTTCTTCAGTTTGGCGCTAGACTCATGGAAAAGAAACCCACTCAAGGAGGCCATACCCTGAGCTCACAGCCGTCAGTGGAACACTAGGCGTGACCAGCAGAGCTGAACACCTCACTGGGATTTAATGGACTGAGCCTGCTTGATAGCAGGTTTCCCCCCTTGGCCCTTACGGCAATCGCTTCTCGAGGCATGAACCTGCACAGTCTTTTTCACGGGCTGCCCTCTCCTGCATTCAAACGAGGGAAGTGCGGAGATAAAGCAGACGCTGCTGTCCCTGAAATCAGTAGCCTCAGCACTTTGGTGTCATGCCCGGCTCCTTGCGAAGGCTCCCACCTATTTCCCTTTCCACTGGAGGATCTGAAAGCACTCTGCCAACATTAGCGAATGAACATCCCCGGGAGGCTGAGGAGTATTATTTCCCAGTGAGGGAAACTGAGGCACAGAGCAGCTAAGGGGCTGTCTACACTGTGATTGGAGCTCGGGTAGGCATACCCGTTCCAGCTGTAATCTGGCCGGGAAGCCCTGGCAGTAAGGGCTGTACACAGCGGCCAGGAGCCTGGGGTACGTACTTCCGTTCTGAGCCCACGCCAGGATCTACACTGGCATGTCTTCACTGCCATCTTTAGCCACGCTAGCTAGCTTAAATCTAGCTCAGGCCGGCCTATCCGAGCTGCAGTCAAACCTCCAATTACGGTGTAGACATACCCAGAGTGGCGTGGCCAAAAACATACAGGGATCAGCGTCCGAGCCTGGACTCCAAGCAAGGACTACAGCTGCCGAACCCTTTGCTCTAACCACTAGATACCACTCCTCCAACCTGATCACACTCCCGAGCCTCTCGTGAGTTAGACTGTCATGAAGAAACAGCAGTAGGCGATGGGAAATCTTTACAGTCAGATGAGGAACTAACCCCCTGGGCCTGGGAGAGGATTTGAAATTCACTTCTGCCCGCGGTTGTTGTTTAGTATTACGAGCAGTTCTAGGGGATGGGTAAGGCTGAAAACCTGGCAAATCACTGTGCAACTGGGTAATCTGTGATTTCACCAATCACACTCCTTTTCCCTGGGAGTCACAGGATCTGGTGTCACTCTCACCGGTGCCAATGAGTGAGTGAACATGTGCATTGAGATCAGTGGGGTGACCCTGGTGCTAAATGTGGGAGAGGAGAATCGGACCCAGAGTGCTCTGTTTTTTTCTGACGGGGGAGGAGTGGTTGGGAGTTTAAATACAGATCTGCACTTAGCAGCTGCTCCAGCTCGTCGGACCTGTACAGAGTTCACCTCATCAGACGCTCTCGTGCATTTTTTATTTTTTCAGTCCAGACTGAAACAGTCTGGCTCGTCAGTGCTTGGAAAGAGAGGATCTGAACGGGAACTAGAGGGATTTGCTGTTTGGTTGATTCGTCCCATTACCAAAGTGGTGGGGTTTGCATTTTTGCGGGTGGCTTCAGCACTGGGGAAAAGGGGCAGGGTTGACGAGGGGACAGTCACAACGGGAAGGAGAGGATTATATCAGGGCCCTTTTCTTTACACCCCCATGTCACCTAGCAACCTGGTGGGAAGACAGGGAAGGATTTTGCTTCAGAGAAACTGGGTCCCTTGCCATTTCCCCATTAGGTGGCGCCACTGGATTTGAGAAGAGCTGCATGTTCTGTTCTATCACCTGAAATGGAATGCACCCACCCCTGAACCCTGGGGACACCTTAGATCTGGACCTAATCCCTGTGGCTGGCCCTGGGTCACGGTAGCGACCCCAACCTAAGCTTTGTCTCTGAGCTCCCTTGAACTCGGAGGCAGATTGGTTCTGGATCTAGCGCCTCTCTCTTTAAAACAAGCGGCACAAACTGTATTGGAGTGGCGGGGGACAATCCCACAGGCCGTTCCCTTTGGCTAAGCGATTGTCACTGCTTAACCGAACAACAGCAGAGCTCCAGACAACTGAACCTTGGCGACTTGTCCTGTTTGGTCCATTCAGCTCTTTGTTCTCTTCTCCAATGCTGCATACACACAGTGACCAGTGCCAAGTGAAACTGAGGGTAGATCTACTTTGCAGTGAGACCCCCGCGGCTGGCCCGTACCAGCTGACTCGGGGTCACAGGGCTCAGGCTAAGGGGCTATTTAATTGCAGTGTAGATGCTCGGGCTGGAGCCCGGGGTCTAAAACCCTGTGAGCTGGGAGGGTCCCACAGCTCTGGCTGCAGTTCTGCGTCTACACTGCAATTAAACAGCCCTTCTTGCCCCGCCCGAGTCAGCTGACACAGGCTAGCCACGGGTGTTTAACTGCAATGTAGCCATCCCCTAAGGAACCAGGATGCCGTAGCCCGGGGGTCCTCAGCCAGTGTAAATCAACAGAGCTCCTTTGACTTCCAGGGAACTACAGCAATTCACACCAGCTGAGGATCCGGCCCTATAGTGCGTGGCTATCTGGCACAATTTGGAGTGTCAGTGTTCTTACATGTGGGCCTGTCTTCATTCCAGAGTTAGCCTGGGCTCTTACCCTAACCCCTGTCCACACACGCAACCCTCTCACCCAACTCAAGGAGTGCTTTCATCCCAGGTTACCTGGCCCCGCCGGGGTGTGGGCTACAGCCCAGTTTCCTCTTTCACTCAGGCTGAAACCTGCCCACTTTGCACTAAGGACACAAGCTAAACTACTTAAATGCTGACAGTCCTCCAGTTCCTTCCCACAATTCCCCACTGAGTGCCTGGAAGGACAGACAAGTCGTTCCACAATTTATCAGGAAAGAATGATAGAGCGTCTCAGCTTCCAGCAGCATGAAGAATTGTGGACTACGCCCCCAGAAGCCCTAGCCACACACACACTAGGTATTGCAGGACCAGTGAGGACCGAGTAACTCGAGCAGGGCTTCACAGTGTGGCTGATGTGAGCTGGGCTAAGCTAACACAAGTGCTCAAACCCAGGTGCCAGTCACTTGAGTCAACTCTGCAATGGAAACATTCCCTTTTTCTTTGCTTGTAGTGTGCCGAGGGCAACACAGTTGGAGAGCCGTGTTAGGGAATGTGGTTACAGCTCATGACAATGTTTTCCTTGGCCACACTACAAACGTGAAACCACATTAGAATGAGGCTGCCCCAAATTCACCAAACAAGGCTGTGTGTTGCTGACACAGTTTGAACTATAATGGAGAGGGGCCCTAATGGTTTCGGGCCAACTTCAGACATCTTGGTGTCTCTGGCTGGGCAACCAAATATTAAGGGATGGAAAATCAGAGGCTAATTTTCTTAGTGTTGGCCTTCAAGCTCTGAGTAAATGCCTGCAAATTAGTAAGGTTCTCCAAACTTCCTGGATCTGCAAAACCAGGCAGTTAATCTCAAGAGAACAGGCCTTCTCATGAGATTTCTGGTCCATTCTATTTCCCAGTCAGATTGATATCACCATCAGAAAAGCCCTCTCCTGGCACTTGTTATTGACTGCAGAAGCTGAAAGTGCCAAGACTGATGAATAAGAAGTAGTATTAATCATCAGCAATAATTAGAGATGGTCAAACCTCAACATTTCCATTCCCTCAGAAATTCTGACATTTTGAAATTTGTGTTTCTTCTGAATCGGAATGAAAACAAAACATTGCACAATTGGCAGCAAAATAAAAACATTTTAAAAAAATTCATTTGGGGTCAATTTTTTTCAAAAATTTCTCTTTGGGTCAACTGGATGCTTCATTTTGATAACACAACCTTTTTTTTCTGATTTTGACTTTTGAAAAAAAATTAAAAAGATTTTTATTTTCTAATTAAAGGTCCCTTTGAAATGAAAAGTGGAAACATTCTGTTCAGCGGGCGTCCAAACGCTGTGTGTGTGAGGAGTTGCTAAATGAAATTGCATTGAAATCCCACGAAAGGGTGTTTTTCCAGTGTAAAAACGTTCCATTGGAAAATGACTAACCAGCTGTAATAAGAAGAATAGTTAGTACCTTCCACTTCACGGGCTCCGGTGCTCTATAGAGAATGAGTCTTAATCCATTTACAGCACCCTTGTGAGGCCGGTAGATATTGTTATCCCCATTTTATAGATGGGGAGACTGAGTCACAGGAAAGGGATGTGACTTCCCAAAAGTGACTTGTGTGCACTAGAATTGACACCGAATCACATGTTTTATGGTGCACAGCACTAGGGAGCCTGGAAAACATTCCCCGTCTCTCCGCTATGTGTGTTGTCTCTCTTGGCATTTTCTTATGTGGCTATTTACCGTATTTACGAAACGCTATCAGGGTTGGGGGTGGAGGGTGTAGGGGGGGGAACGGCACCAAAATAAAACTAGCTGTTTGCAAAGTGCTTCCATTCGGTTTGCTTCCAAAGAGATCCCTGGAGTGTTGGTTTTTTTTTAAAGAAAAAAATTACATTTGAAATACCAATAAAGCTCAATTCCAGCAGCGCAACACTCACGAGCGACCCTACAATAACAACCCAGCAGGAGCAGCTCAGTGTTTGCGAGTGAACGAGGCTCCCAGCCCGGGTAGACAGACGTGCACTAGCTCGTGCCTCCCCAACACACGAAAAATAGCTGCGTGAACACTGCGCCACCGACGGAGGGTCAGGCTAGACACCCAAGCTTGGAGCCAGGGTAGGGCGGGCGTGCACTCAGGTGGCTTTCTCGCGCTCTACCTGTGCGCCAATGTTCAGTGTCCTAGCATGAGCCTGTCTAGCCAGGTGGCATGTTCCCAGCTGCAGTGTAGACATACCCTGACATACTGCAACCCAACCCAGACCCAAGTAGAGGCGCTGGGTCTGGGTTGGGTCAGCTGGCGAAACAACTGGAGCCTCTCGGGCTTGGAACTGGTCAGGTGAGCTTGGGTCCAGTTCAGGTCAGGCCAAAAAAGTAGGTCCCAGCAGCGCTCCCCCCTGAAGGACCCTACAATAATTAACCAGTATGCACAACACAGCATTCCTTACCAGTCTCATTTAACCAACAAAACAAACAAGGCCACAGACGGGGAAAAAAATCGTTCTGAAAACAGACTTCTGCCGCAAGTGGCTGTTCTGCGGTGAAGTACGTATAATCCTTCATCAGGGCAGGAGGCTGCAGGCTGGTAGAATAAATACCTCCCATTTACACATAAATGCGTAGCCCTGGCCCAGCCCCCGATGCTGAGTTTTCCCATTAGCTAACAGATTTCTCCCTTGGTGTCCTTTAAGCTTTCAGGTAAAAAGTCCCTGCTGAACAATTAGAGAGACATATGTGGTTCAGGGTCCCCTGGCTTCCTCGATAATATCTCTGTCTCATTGATCCCGGGGTCCTATAGGACACCAGCTGGAAAGCTAAGAGGATAAATAATAAAGGAGCATTCATTTAGACTTCAGGGCCGGCCTCTAATCATTCTTCTGTGGCTGCACACCTGCTGCAGTATTCCAGGCTCTTCCTCCATTAACGTCGCTAACGTAGGGGAAATACCACGGGGGAAAAGGTTGGGAGTTTGACGTCTGGTCTCCTTGAAAGCCTCTGGCCTTATTCCTTAGCCCTGTCCTACAGGTGCTGTAGGCAGCTAAAACTGGGAGTCATTTACAGCTCCCTAATCCTGAAGGTACCTAGGAGTTCTGTTCTCAAGGGGCTGTTTGCCTGCAAGGGATTGCCGGCGCTCATGCCCACTTCCCCTTCACAATGCCCTCCCAGTGCCCAGGGGCGGCTGGTAGCAATCATCTGTGCTGGCTGTGTGCCAGCTGGGGATTCCCTCCATCTGTGGGAACTCAGAGCTGGGAGAATGCAGGTGCTTCCTGATGCACCCACAGGCACAGGGAGACCGGAATGGGGCTCAGGCCTGAGCCATCCACCTCTCTGCTCCAGTTTTGAGTCCTCCTGGGCAGTTACGGGGTGGAACTGGAGCTCCAGGGTGGACATTGAACACAGCAACATTTAGGATGAATACGAGGAAGGACTTCCAAACAGATGTGGCCCCAGCTGGAACCCAGGATCCGAACGGCCTGCCCTTGGGGAAGTCTGGGTCAGTCTCTGGTTCCTAATCATTTGAAAGAGCCCCGACGAAGCCCCGAACCTCAAATCACTTTAAACGGTGGCGCCTGGTGCGATAGCTGGGGGAGGCTGATGGCAGCACTGGCCTGTGACGGGGATACTAATTGCATCAGACTCCAAAGGAGCTACCTCTGCCTACCACAAGGGCCATCTGCTGAACGTAGACTGCTCTGGCGCTAGCTCTGATGGGTCTAATGCAGCGGCCTAGCCAGCACTGGCAGGGGAGGAGGAGGGGGAGACAAACGTCCTGACAAGGCTGAGCTGTCTCCTTTTGATTTTTCACTTAGAAACAACTTTTTGATTCTTTTTTTTTATTTTGTATTCTACGGTGTATTCCCACATTTTAAAAAAGTCAAAATTGAAATGAACCATTTGATCAACCTGAAAAGAAGGTGTGGTGGTGGAAGTGGGTTAAATTTCTCTTGACAGAGAATTTTGAAATTTTCACTTTTCGCTCTGAACTGCAACGAAACCAAATTTCAAAATCTCGAAACCCATCACGAAATGGAACTTCCAGCCTCCATCCAGCTCCTCTTCTTTGTGTTGGTGGTACGGTACCATCGGTCACCTATTCTCCCTCTGTGCACTGGGCAAGCGCCGTTGAAAATCAAGCAGCAATCCAACAGCCTCAAGACCGGTGGGGATGTTAGCTTCATTACCAGCTGGTGGCGAAAGATCTTTCTAGGAAATCAGGAGGAGAGAGCCTGGTTAGAGCCAGTCTGGCAAATTACATTTCACAGCAGCACTCTGACACCTCAGAGACAGCAGCTTTACTCAGAAGTTACAAACAGACCATCAAGTATCAGAGTGGTAGCCGTGTTAATCTATGTCCATATGGGGGGAGGGATAGATCAGTGGTTTGAGCATTGGCCTGCTAAACCCAGGGTTGTGAGTTCAATCCTGGAGGGAACCACTTAGGGATCTGGGGCAAAATCAGTACTTGGTCCTGCTAGTGAAGGCAAGGGGCTGGACTCAATGACCTTTCAGGGTCCCTTCCAGCTCTATGAGATAGGTATATCTCCATACATTACAAAAACAACAAGGAGTCCAGTAGCACCTTAAAGACTAACAGATTTATCAGCACATAAGCTTTCATGGGTAAAAAACCCAGTTCTTCAGATGCATGGAGTGAAAATTACAGATACAGTCAAAAATATACTGACACATGAAGAGAAGGGAGTTACCTTACAAGTGGAGAACCAATGTTGACAAGGCCAATTCAGTCAGGGTGGATGTGGTCCACTCCCAATTTTCTGGGATCCTTTTTCTGATAGAAAACTCAGTTCAGCTGCAGATCTCAGGCAGGCGTGATGTCCCTGCTTTCTAGCACCACCTTCCAGAGGAGAGTAAGCCACATCTCATACAGGTTTGAGCATTGGCCTGCTAAACCCAGGGTAAGTTCAATCCTTGAGGGAACATTTAGGTAATGGGGATAAAAATCTGTCTGGGGATAGGCCCTTCTCTGAGCAGGGGGTTGGACTAGGTGACCTCTTGAGGTTCCCTTCCAACCCTGATATTCTATACTTCCTTTCTACAAAATCCCCAAGGATCTTTGTCCCCATCCAGTGGCTGATGCACCTAAGATAAGTTTACTATAGCCAGCAATTAATGAGCTGTTTTATCTCAGGTGGTAGTCCTCTACATTTTTAGCACTCAGGGTCCTGGATGGAATCTCCGCTAATAATCCATGAGGCAGGGAGCTAGGCATATATGTTAGCAGAAAAGGCACTGTGTGTTTGGGCCTAAATCCTGACATCTGTACTCCACCAAAGCTACCCCTGACTTCAGCTTTGACCCATGATTCTGTTTCTTGCCTTGCTTGCTAATGTTTTTTTTTTAAAGATCCATGATGCAAAGGGGTTCAGGTCAGAGGGCCAGACCCACTCCGCAGAACGACACTGATTCACGGCAGCTGGAGATCTATGTGGCCCAGTCTAGCGCTGGAATGACTGAAAGTTTCCCCCAGTGTGAAAGTCACCCCTTAGAAAGTTCCCCAGGACAGGACCAGCCAGATAGTTTGTAAAGTCCTGGGTATCAGGGACTGCTATCTAATAAATCTCCTTAGGTAATATCAGCTTCTGTCCAGCTGGACATCTAGCCCTAGATTAAGTGTATTTTCTACATCTTTCCCCACCAGGTTTTAGAGGACAAAGAAAATTTACTGTGCCGTTTACATATATTTTTAGGGGGGAAGTGAATTTAGTGCTGGTGAAAGATGTCAGCTTGTCAATCCTGACAAGTGAAGTCCTCTATCCACAGGGTCGGTCGATGGGCAGCACAAACCTAGGCGCTGAAACTAGGGGTGCTGGAGGTGCTGTCGCACCCCCTGGCTTGAAGTGGTTTCCAACGCATACGGGGTTTAAAGTCTGGTTCTATGGCTTTCAGCCCCCCCCCCATGCAAATTGTTCCAGCGCCCCGGAGCACAAGCCTCTCCCACACTGTCCCATGAATGTGCCTCCCCCTCTGGCCTGGAGGGGGCACCAAGTGCTGTGAAAAGGTTGTCCAAATGAATCCAGGGAGCCCAAATACCACAGTGATGGGTGCAGTATAAGAACCAGAATAGAATGTGCCCATTCAGTACTTAAGCTGTCTGCTAAGATTCCTACCAGGGCTGTCAATTAGCCCCAGCTCCTCAGGTGTCTAACTCCCATTGATTCCAATGAGAATTAGGCATCTCAATCCCTTTGAGTATCTGGGCCTTGTGCCAAACGTGAGGCTGTTTTCTGTGATACGGACATCTGCCCCGCAGGAACTCCACTGAGTCTCAGCAGCGCATTGCACACAGGGGCCACCAAACAGCTCTGATTTTCAGTCACTGCCTCGAGACCACTAGAGGAGGACTGAGGGGGTCTTGGTTACATTCATAATTTCGGAGGGCGCTGGGTTCCATGGTGTTGAGCACCGGGTAACAGCGTAGGCAGACGGATCGGTAGCTACTTTCCAATGCAGTGTTTGTATGGCTGACATGGAGGAGATCCCTGGAGACAACCAGTCCTGCTCACTACCAACCTGCTGAACAGCACCAAAATCGGAGATCACCGCAGTGCTGGTAAGTCTGGAGTAACTATACTGAACTGAATGGAGATACTCCCGTTTTACACTAGGGTAACTGGAATCTGGTCCCGTATATAGCAGGGAAATCCAAGGCCCTCCGAGGAACCTCACAGCCGCAGCAAATCCACCCCAAGCTATCTATCACCTTGGAGCTGCCATATGTTCTTTGTGTGTTGCTGCAAGGTTTTGCCGCCGAAAGACTCTCCAATAGATTGTAATTGCTTGTCTCCTTCCTCCAGCCCTCAGGAATAGCGATTTGTAGTCCACATGCCCTCGCCGTTCAGCTGTGGTCAGGAGTTGTTCTTCCGTGCATCATAGGGCACGCTCACACACCAACGACGTGCCCAAGGAAACGGGAGGCCTGGACCTTCGCAGCACTAAGGGCGTTTCTGACAAGCTAATAGTTATCTGTGTCAAGGGAGGCTGGCTCACAATCATTTCACTGCCAGCTCCCAGGCGCTCGGCACTTGTCATCTGTCACTTGATCGGCAAGAATACGTCACGCGCCGAGCCCCGGCTAAACTTCCGCTGCTACCGCAGACACCATCTGTGCGTCCCAGCTCCGCGGCGCTCGGCACAGATTGCTGCCCTTCTCTGGCGGGTTTGTTCCTTTCCGGAGGATGTGCCGCTCTCCTTGGAGGTGGAGGAAGCTGGTGGATGGAGCCCAAAGCCAGCTCTGTGCAGCTGGGTCGTTCATCTGCCCCACTTCCTAGGAAACAGCATGTTCCGGTACTCCTGCCACCTTGACTTCGCTTGAGTGGCACTTGACTCCTGTGGTGGGTGGTTCCCCTGGCAGCTACAGCAGAGGGCTGAGGAGCACTTCCATACTGGTTAAAAAGCGGCTAAGGAAGGGCCCCTTCTAACTATCCAGCCACTACTGGTTTCCTGGTATCAATGGGAGGCCGGGGGTTGATTAAGGCAGGCGAGGCTGAAGACTGGTGGGGATCTGGCGGTGGACGCATGGAACTGCGGGGATCACGAACACCCGGCTTCTCTTCCTGGCTCTGCTATTGAGCCCCTTGGGTTACATTCATTAGGGAGCCTCCAATGATGGAATCCTCCCAGCCCCGTCAGCACGTAGATTACACACATGGAGACTCCCTTAGGATCAGCTCTGAATTTGGCCCTCTGAGCGTAAGGGAGGCTCAGCTGGTGTAACTCACACCTCTAGCAGCCGGAAGAAAGTATCAATTCCATCATTTTAGAGTCTCCTAGGCACTAGGCCAACTGTGTGACCTTGGGCAAGGCTCTGTGCCTCAGTTTCCCCATCTGTAACAGCGAGGCTGAGATCGTCTGCCTCGTGGGGCGTTGGGAGGGTTAACTGGGGAGATGAAAAGCATATTATGAGTGTTCAGGCTGGTTGTTTGTGTTCTCCTGGCACGTGTCTTTGCAGATGCCGTTCTTATTACTCATGCACCTCTCAAGTCCCTTTTCATTTGTTTTTCTAAAACTTCTGCAACCACGGGGAACAGCCGCATTGCCCATGAAAACACAGAAGCACAAGGCTGGCGCCAGCCTAGCTGAATCATGAACAGAAGGCCATATTCTCCAGGCAACCCCTCCTCTCATGCCACGCTGCCTAGCGTCCCCAAGGCACTGCTGGGTGAATCTTGTCTAACCTTTGCTTAAAGAACATGTTTGCTGCCATAGGCAACTGATTTTTGCTTGTCCCATGGGTGGTCATATAAGGGGGCCAGCATCTGAAGAAAATAGCTGGAGGGAATTATGCAAATAAATTCTTCTCTCCTTAAGCCCCCAGGATACCTGTGGTATGCTGCCAGCAGGCACAATTACAATCTCTCTATCCCCCATCTGTGCATCAAAGACTAGCATATACATGAGTCAAACCCTAGCTGGATTGAATGACTGTAGAGCTGGGAACCACATCAAAGTTCAATGCGCTGTATAGCTAATTCCTGAAAGGACCTCCAGTCTACCGACATCACAACATGCATCACAACAGCGATCAATGGCTCCATGTCTAGTTGGCAGCCGGTTTCAAGCGGAGTGCCCCAAGGGTCGGTCCTGGGGCCGGTTTTGTTCAACATCTTCATTAATGATCTGGAGGATGGCGTGGCCTGCACCCTCACCAAGTTTGCAGATGACACTAAACTGGGAGGAGTGGTAGATACGCTGGAGGGTAGGGATAGGATACAGAGAGACCTAGACAAATTAGAGGATTGGGTCAAAAGAAATCTGATGAAGTTCAACAAGGACAAGTGCAGAGTCCTGCACTTAGGACGGAAGAATCCCATGAACCACTACAGGCTGGGGACCGACTGACTAAGCAGCAGTTCTGCAGAAAAGGACCGAGGGGTTACAGTGGACGAGAAGCTGGATATGAGTCGACAGTGTGCCCTTGTTGCCAAGAAGGCTAACGGCATTTTGGGCTGTATAAGTAGGGGCATTGCCAGCAGATCGAGGAACGTGATCATTCCCCTCTATTGGACATTGGTGAGGCCTCATCTGGAGTACTGTGTCCAGTTTTGGGCCCCACACTACAATAAGGATGTGGAAAAATTGGAAAGAGTCCAGCGGAGAGCAACAAAAATTATTAGAGGGCTGGAGCACATGACTTATGAGGAGAGGCTGAGGGAACTGGGATTGTTTAGTCTACAGAAGAGAAAAATGAGGGGGGATTTGACAGCTGCTTTCAACTACCTGAAAGGGGGTTCCAAAGAGGATGGATCTAGACTGTTCAGTGGTGGCAGATAACAGAATAAGGAGCAATGGTCTCAAGTTGCAGTGGAGAAGGTTTAGGTTGGATATTAGGAAAAACTTTTTCATTAGGAGGGTGGTGAAGCACTGGAATGGGTTCCCTAGGGAGGTGGTGGAATCTCCATCTTAGAGGTTTTTAAGGCCTGGCTTGACAAAGCCCTGGCTGGGATGATTTAGTTGGGGATTGGTCCTGCTTTGAGCAGGGGGTTGGACTAGATGACCTCCTGAGGTCGCTTCCAACCCTGATGTTCTATGATTCTGTGCATTTCAATGTGAAGTCAACCGGATGGAATTCAATGGAGACAAGTGCAAAGTACTTCATTTAGGGGGGAAAAATCAAATGCACAACTATACAATGGTGCATGATGCACTACGTAAGAGTACTGCTGAAAAGGAGCCGAGGGTTATAGTGGATCAGAAATTAAATATGAGTCACCAGTGTGATGCAGTTGCGAAAAAGGCTAATATCATAATGGGGTGTATTAACAGGAGTGTCATATGTAAGACATGGGTGGTCATTGTCCCTCTCCATTTGGCACTGGTGAGGCCTCAGATGGAGTC